GCTCCTGTGGCTGTTGAGCGGACGATGACTACAAGAGCTGCAGCTTCTGTAATTACTTGACATAATATTTAACCCCTTTTCGTTTTATGTTAACTTCCGAGATTTTTTCTTTCTATCTTATAATACAATAATAGAAGTATTTTCTTGTTCATACGGTAAGATTGCTTCCTTTTCGGTATTTAGGAAATGAATACAAATTTGGCTGTTGAATTTGATTAATTCAAAGATATAAAGATAATGCCCTGCTTAGTGTCTGTTTCATAGTATATACTCACTATTCTCTTAACTCATTTAAAAATTTAAAAACTGAACATATTATTATTAGGCACTTCAAATGAATAACATATCTACCGTTGTTATGATTTTTCATTTTCGTTGTAGTCTGTTTTTATTTTAAATGAACTGATGGGGATTTACCATGTTATGCTATATTTTTCAGAATGCATTGCGTCAACAGAGGTTTGTTAGAGAAGTTACAATTCAGTACAACCTTTGCAACGAACCATGGTATACTTCAAACCCTCTCTATTAATACTGCATCTGCAGGTTTTTTGCCAGAACGGTAACTTACATATGCATAAAATTATTTGGTACTATCATGCTTTGTTTTGTTTTATCTTGTTTTTCTGTTTACCTTGGCTTTTATGCATGTCACACTAGATCTATATATTTTCTGTTTACCTACGCTAACCTATATATCTTCTATTATTATTTCGATCTAACACAATACTGCATACGCATAAATTATATTTGTAGTTTGTTGGAATGCATACGCATCCCATAGCGCTGATATATGAGATAGTTTATCCTTCAGACAGTTTGATCAATGAATCCTCCGAACACCTAAACCTTATCCAATTATTATCAATGTTCTTAAAAAGACTTTTCGGACTTTCCCTCAAGGATTTTAAAACGTGTACGCTATAGGGAGAGGTTTCCACACTCTTATAAAGAATGAATGATTTGCTCACCTCCCTGGCCGATGTGAGATCACACAATCCACCCACCTTCGGAGCCCAGTGTCCTCGCTAGCCCTCGTTCCCTTCTACAATCGATGTGGGATCCCCCAATCCACCCTCCTTTGAGGCCTAGCGTCCATACTGGCACACCGCCTCATGTCCACCCCCTTTCGGGTCTCGGCTTCTTCACTGACATATCCCCCGATGTCTGGCTCTGATATCATTTGTAACAGCCCAAGCTCACTACTAGTAGATATTGTCCTTTTTGGGCTCCCACATCGGTAGGGGAGAAGAACGAATCATTCTTTATAAGGGTGGGGAAACCTCTCTCTAGCAGACACATTTTAAAAACTTTGAGGGGAAGCCCGAAAGGGAAAGCCCAAAGAGGACAATATTTGCTAGCAGTGGGCTAGGGTTGTTACAACACTAATATGCAAGCTCATTTACAATGTTATTTTGATGATTTGGAAAGAACGTCTATCACCATGGGGGATCTTAGTGGTCGAGAGAGGCCAGGTCAAGTAGTAGTAAACACTTGGATGTTTTCTAGATGTTGTTTGTAGGATTCAACAAATGTCACAAGTGATTAGTGAATAGCATATATCTATGAGATAGTTTGGATTCCCATGTTTATCCAAAAACAGGAAAGTAGGATACATAAGTGCCTTGCTTTTAAGAATTTTTTTGGCAGTCACTGGCATTGTCATGACATATTTCATATGTTCTTGTACAATACAAAACATAGCCATAATTGAATCTTGCTTAGTGTGATATCCTATGTATCTTGAACATTACATAACATACCCATATTTGAATTTTGCATTGTGTGCTTTCTTATGTTTCTTGTACACTACATAACATAAAAAATTCACTTTGTAGTGTTAATTAAATCACAGATGCATATTGCCCCTGGATTTACTCTAGATGGTTGCACAATGTTCGTATTAAACGTTCCATTTACAAAACTCTGCAGGATTAAATACAGTATTAGTGTTGTTGCGGATAAAGGTCTAAAGAAACCTCTCTACACAGCTGCGCGGTTGAAGAAGGGAGAAGTTTTATATCTAGAAACGCATTCATGCAGGTATGTCAAGTCCCATGGTGTTTTCCTTGCCTCTCATAAACAAACTTCAACTAAGTTGATTTCTGAAACACATGATGTGGATATTTCACGGAGCTACATTGTGAAAGCCTCATTAAGAAGAAAAATCTTCCTTTAGAATATTTCAGGCATCAATGAAATTTTTTTCATATAAAATAATTTGTCTGAAAGAACTACTTTGTGAAGGTATGAACTCTGCTTTTCCGGGGAGAAAATGGTGAAAGCCATTGCAGCATCTCAGGGGCATGAATCTGAGGCTGAGAAATCTCAGAATCACATTATGCACTGCCCAAATGGTGAAAGAACCGATAACGATAATACTTTGATCGATGTGTTTCGGTGGTCTCGCTGTAAGAAGCCCCTGCCTCAGAAGGTTATGCGTTCTATTGGGATTCCACTGCCTTCTGAACACATGGAGGTACTTTTCTCCAGCTTTCTTTCAATCTTTGAAAGATAAATTCTATCAGAATGTCTTGCATCTTCATTGATTTATTTACTTCAAAGATTGCTGTGTAGTGGGCTTTCTGGTGCCTATTTGAGTACATTTTTCTGCCTAAAGTTGCCATGACTTCACTTGCACGTTTTCACTTTCACGTTTCCAGTTAGCGGCATGTTATATCTCGTTAAATCCTAGGAGATAATATGGGGTTGCTATGGCCCAGTCTTTAACTGTAGTCTAAGGGCACGCTGTAATAGACCCTTAGAGAGAAAGAGGATGAAACTTCTCTTTCTGTGATGATTTCATTTATTTTTCACGACCTATATTGGTTACATATTAAGGTCATTTCATAGAAGAGGTTGGCAAAGATCAATAGTGTACAGTTATCAGGAGGTGTGTCAGCGAGAACGCTGGGCCCCTAAAAGGGGTAAATTATGAAATCTCACATCGGTTGGGAAAGAGGAACGAAGCATTCCTTATAAGGGTGTAGAAATCTCTCCCTTGCTAACACGTTTTCAAACTTTGAGGGAAAGTCCAGACAGAAAAGTCCAAAGAATACAATATCAGAGCTAGCAGTGGGCTTGAGCTGTTACAAATATATTGACTAAGATAAATAATACGTCATGGCTTTGAGCATTAGGATAAAATTGAATTGCCAACTTTCGTTGTGGTCGGAGCTTCGAATCTCCACTCCTATATTTACTATAAGCATCTGATTGAATTACTAGACATCTGTCTTTTTTGTAGGTACTTGAGGATAATTTGGACTGGGAAGATGTACGGTGGTCACAGACTGGCGTTTGGATAGCTGGGAAAGAATATGTACTTGCTCGTGTGCATTTCCTATCCATGAATTAGTTGCATTTTTAGGATCGATCTTAGTTACTTTTAGATGTATGAGAGCATATATTTCATAATCATATTTCAGAGTAGGTGGGATGCTATCACAATAGTGCTGATTCTTTTCTACTTGATATTATATTGAATGTGGAAAGCTTGGTTCTTTGATCTTGCATCTCATCATGCTACATTCTCGAAATCACATATATCAATACTCTATCATACTCTTCATCGGTACTATGAAAATCATTTAGATACACTCGGCACTTGTCTAAGTTGTATCAATTTTAGCTCTACTAAAATTTTGATGCGACTAAGAACAATTATTTCATTACTTTAATGATGAGGCTTGAATAAAATAGTAGTGAGTTTAAACAATGCTGTGATCCAAAAGTAACTTCTTGGATTCATGAAATCAATTATGTTAATCTAATTTGCCTAATTCTTCTCTGCAATAATGGTGGTTGTCTTTCCTGTTCTTGAACTGTAACTCTCGTGTTGTTATTTTTACAATTATGCTTCACAATAAGATAACTGATTTTAAATTGACCCTTTGTTATCAAACCTAGGCAAGGAGGCGCCACTGATGAACTAAATTATATGTTTGGTTCCTAAATTTTGAAATTTGTATCTATTTAATCCCTCCATTTTCAACCAGTGTCAAGTAAGATTGAGTTTTTTATCTTATGTCAAAAAATTAATTGATAAATTAAATATAAGTTTGAACTTTGACCCCTTTGAATCACTACATTACTTGATTCAAATGGTTCTCACAAAACTCAAATGTACGAGAAAGTCTAATATGCAATGAACGATTAAAAAAAAATATTTAATTTAAGATTAAAAAAAAAAAGACTTCTTTTTTTATTGTGCAATGAACGATTAAAAAAAATTATTAATTATTATATTATTGCTGTTTTATTTTTTTTTTCCAAAAACTATCTAGCAAAATAATTAGATAAAAAAAGCTTCGACCTTGTCAACTGATAGTGATATAACAAAATTTGGATAAATATCAATACCTATTACAGGTATAAGAATAGAGATCGCAACAAACAACTCTCGTGGTCCTAAATCAAAAAAATAAGAATTTTAAACATTAAAAAGCTTGTATCCATAGAATATCGGGCGTAACATAGATAATAAATAAATGGGAGTTAATATGATTCCAATTGCCATTACCAAAGTAATTAGTATTTTAGTCCGATGCAACTCTAAACTTTTGTAATTTTGTATCTAGTAGATCGGTAAATTTTAAAAACTCCCAGCAAAGTTTGTAATAGCAAATATAAACTTGTAATGAGCCCTTTCACACTTAACCACAAACTACTACATTTGGTACTTATTCAAGCACCATCCCATCTTGTCATAAAAGTCATCCCACATAGCATAGCTAAAGCAATTGTGACCTACTACCACGGTTCAGGTTATAACATTTATTTAGCAAATAAATGTTCTAGATCTCACATGGTTTATAATGTCACGAACCACATTGTGTGCGATCTCTAATTATCGAACATTCTCAATATTCACCCCTACTCCACTAAGAAATCTATTAGTCTGAGCGACAGATAATATTTTTCGGTTCAAAACATGAGTTCATTATACTTATAATTGGTATCAGAAAATTGTTGGAAGGATCATTTTGGACGCATTACACTAAAAGAAATGGGCACTTAATTGAGACATTACTTGCGTAAAAAAATACAACAGAATTATTTGGATCCCTAATCTTTTGGCGACAAAAGGCAGCAATGAGTTGGAGAAAGGCATATAGGCCAAAAAACCTGAAGCCACCATTCCGAGGGGTTTCCAAATCAATAGCCAGTAAGCAACATACAAAAATCCATAACAAAATACAATTGGTAATAAAGGCTAATACATATTTAGTCAGACATCTGCTAAACCATAAGACAGCCACAGACAGACAGAGAAGGGAAGAGAGGGGCCTAAGACTTTTGAGTATAAAATGGCTAACAATTGCTATTTACAAAAGGATGCCTTTGGTTTACTCTCACTCATTCCAAAGATTTAAGAAGCCTGAATAACGCCGCCGCTTCTCTGATCCGAGAGAATTCGATGCAGAAAGCTTGAACTTCGATGAAAAGATCTTTCACTGCCAACCAAAACCAAATCGAGGTTAAACTAATACAAAATCGAGGTGCTTACAAAACGATTAACAAGCTGATACGATGTAGAATTGACATTAAAATGAAAAGAAATGGAAGGCAAGAACTAAATTATAACAATCTTAACAGGTCATTCAAAAAACTGCACGTTTTTGCACACTGAAAAAGCCTACTCTCTGCTTGAAAATAATAAAGGCGTGCCTTCATAAGAGCTTTGAACCAAGCTATCCAAAGAGATCCACTCTTATTGACAGCTTATGCAGATGTTATATGGAAGGACTGTTATCCAAATACGACTAAATTCTTCCTCTGGGAAATCCCTCACAAAGGCTATTGCTACCGACCGAACATATTCTACACAAATGTATGCCTTACGTGGCTATCCCCCCAGCTGAAATGCCCAGAGACACATTTTCCTTCATTACCCATTTGTTTGGTTTTTTCTGAGGAAGATTTTAAACTGCTCTGGCTGGTCTATAGTTCTAGCATTCGACATGAAGGATTTTCTCGCTTACACCCTCTTCAGACGCCTCATTAATGAAGAAAACTGTCTATATGTTTAATGAAAGCACATTTATGGTGGTCAACAGCGGTCTACGGCAAGCAGCTGTTATTAATAACTCATGAGGTTGTGACACTGTAACCTACGGGGTTGTATTAACAACTCCAAGATATTGGTTACATAGGGACAAACGTGGATTTGGGTTCAAACCCAAGAACACCGACTTTATTTTGATACAGGTAGCAAACATCAAAATACCTATATGATCCAGCATGCGGCACATATCCATGACGATTCTCACATCACGCAGGAGATTATACTTATTATTTCATAATTCTAGACTTTTCCAATCACATTCCAGTGTTTGTATCTCTAATTAGATACATAGATAGACGCAAAGATGTCAAAGGAAACTAAGGCTGCAGAGGAGATCACAAACCAACTACTATAGAATAGGATGAACTACATTCTTAGAAGTGAAGAATGCATATAATGACTTAAGTTCAAGCAACTGAGAGGACCTTACCATTGATGATGTTATTTCGAATTAAACTCTGTAGAAAAACACATACAAGCCGAACTAATCTGTTCTGCATGTACTTATCCTGGGGAAAAATAAGAAATAAAAAAGTTTAGTATCTTACAGATGTTTAAACTAAAATTCGTAAACCAAAACTAGCATATTGCAGTCAAAAAATTCCTCATCCCTCAGTTAAATATAAAAGACGTTAGAGACCCAAAACCACAGAGATGCCCTTACATAACAACAAAAGAACTTCAACATAAAAAAAAGAAAATAATAATAATAATAATGACAATAATTAAACTCTTGCTCTTGTCACCCATAGTGGAGTCTTATATACAATAATAGGGTCCCCTCAACAGTTTCTCACCAATATGATATTCTTCAGGTCGATCCAAGGTACTGTGCACATGCAAAAATATGGAAGGGAATGAATAGGAAACATTTCAGCCACAGTAGAGCGTTTGAGGAATTCAAAACTCCAGAAATTCTGCCGGTGTTCTGTCTCTAAACACTTCTGTTTGTTTTGCTTTTTTATTGACATCAACTGGAAAGTATTATGGTGATAGTTCTTGGCTTGCACTAGCCCCCCTATACATATTTTTCTATGAGCAACCAACCTTTTATTAAGTTAAAGGACCAAGTAGAAAGAGGATCCCCCACCCCACAGAAAAAAGAGTCCAACAAAGTGGAGGGAAGAACATCACTCGCCATTTACAAAAAAAAAAAAAAATTATTATGAAAAAAACCAGTTTTGGGACCAAAAAAAAACATAAAATTTACAAAATGAATTTGAATCAAGAGCCCATAGGGAAGCATTAAAATGCACTAAATTCAACATATCCTTCGATGATCTCTCCCTTAATATAACTTCCTATTCTTTTCCAGCGAAATAAACCATAAAATAGTAAAGAAACCAGCCTGCCAAAGATCAGCAACACTCCCCCTAAGAAGGGGTCATAAAAAACAAAAACCCTACTCCAGCACCTCATATACACTTGACACATTGGCTAAATTGAACCCCTACCAAAGGCTACTCCAACACTCATGATGATAAAAGGACACAACTACAATAAATGATTTAGGTCATCGAATTTGCTCTGATAAAGAACATATTAATTTGATCCAAAGACACAAGAGGCTATCCGCAAGCATAATTCTTCCCAAGAGGCAACCAACAAAGCAAAGGTTCAAGGGACGAGGATAGTCCCTTGAACTGTTAAGATCCTTATCGGCTTTCATCTCCAAAAACATAAGAAATAATAATTCAAATAAGAGATTTGAGTTCATAAAAGTATACATGTCTTCAAGGGCCAACACTTGCAAGATAAAAACTTAAAGCCTCAAATGTTGAAAACTCAAAAGTGTAGTAAAAGTACATACTTTAATGCCCTCACACGATGATATACAATTAGTGATGTACATGTGTATGAACTCAGAGGGAAGTTCAACAGCTGTCGTTAGCCTGTTGACAACTTCCATAGAGTGTAAACTCATGTCCATATTAACAAGCACAGTAAAGTACCTGCCATAAAAAGTTGTGATGATGAATACAGGGGAAATAGAAGTCCAGAAAGTAAGTATCTCAGGTCATAACCAAAAAACAAACCAACACATGGATTCGAATCCATACTCTGCAATTTCAGGGGAATTAATCAATTTCTTTAGAACTTCAACTGCAATAAGAGGATTGTTTTCCACCAATTCCTAACGATATGAAAAAAAATAATAAAAAGATGAGGCAGGAAAACATCTTTTCTAATGAAATCAACTACAAGGTCATCCAAACACATACAGGAAGCTTTCGGGGTGTCAGTCCACAATGATATACAAGCTTTGGGTCGTTTGCCAACTCTACCACCACTTGCTGGTTTCAATCAAAGAACAAACGTTGAGTCATTTCATCCTTTGGCATTTATTATGCAAGGAAAAAAGTTCATATGATAGTTAACAAAGTAACTGCAGAAGGACTTGAACCTCTTGTTGAGAAGGTATAAGAGGCCCTTTCAGAGCTTTTGCAATTAAGTCCCTCACAGCTGCGCCTCTACTAGTGTCAACACACATTCCATGGTCCCATAAAAGTTCATGACGATCGTCAAGGTTCAACCACACTAACTGCAAAGGGACTTTGCCAAGCACAAATCAGGTGTGCTCTAAAAACATATATTAGCTCAAAAAGAGAGTTAAAATGCATCTCACCTCTCCATTCTGTATCGGAAGCCTTGGTGGAAGAGGCCTAATCCACTCGGGACTTGATCCTTTAAGTGACAAATTGGACAATAACCCCAGCAATGTCTCATCTCTATCTCCAGATCCCAATTTAGGAACCACTCCAGGTAACAGGTCAAACCTAAGATGCCCAACATCATATAAATAAATAAATGAAAATAAAAGGTAGTGCAGAGGTTAGGTTTTAAACACATAAATCATTGATGTCAGAAGTCAAACAAGGGAGGAGAGGAAAACTCATACTCTGCCGAGTTTGCATCACAACCCAGTGGGACATCAGGGTCTGGAACCACATTTCTCACAGAACAATCTTTCAAAAAGCAATCAAACGATTGACCTTGAGCTTTATCACAAAACTGTTGCTGCAGTTGCTCTAGCTGAGGGAAAGCCTGAAAAACAAGAACCCTTTGGCCTCAACTCAAATAGATATTACAAATTTGATTCTCCCCACAATTGAACTTATGAGCAGAACTCTTGAGGGTTTTCCTATAGACAAATTAAAAGGGAAATTGTGTTCGTGTTGGTTTCCGTGTCTTACATGCAATGAAGGGTCGAAACCTTTAATGTAATCGGAAGCAGACTGTTTCAGGAACTGCAAGACAGACATCGTCATCATGATTAATATAGGGATTTATCTAACTAAGTATAAATAGAAAAATTATGCCTATTAATCCTAGTAATGTCATTTACTCCTCAATTAATAGTGATTCCACTTATTGGGCCTCCTACAAATTTCAAGGCTCAAAAGTGAGGAGTATTGAAGTATTGGCATAATTAAATTTGCTCTCACCAATCAGTTTAAGTTTTAAGACCAAATTTCACATGCAAGCTAGGTGGATAGCATTTATAAAAAAGATTTTTTTTTTTCATCAAGCATAAATCTGGAATAATTCATAAGGTAGTTGATATATTAAGTGGAAGATTTCAACTACTTCCCAATACAGGCTTTGAAATAATATCATTGATAACTTATCAAGATATAATCATCAAATGACTGATGGATTTTTTTATTTATTTATTCTAGAATGATTATTTATTGCTGCCCTATGCATACCTTCCACAAAAACTTGCAACAAATATATATGCTGAAGGATGGGGAGTAAACTTTGACCTTAATAATATATACATGTATGCATATATAGAGCAAATTATTTCTCAATTTTTTAAGCCACAATTAAGAAAGGATATCATCCACTGTATGCAGAGATCTTCTACTCCAGCATGTCAGGTGTCCAAGAGATCTTTGGATCATTCAGCCTTTCTTTAAATTTTTTTGTAATTCTTTGTAATCAATCTTTTGTAATCTTCAAAGATATTGTTAATCTTGAAGTTCTTTAGTTTATTTCTTAACCGAGAAGGGGTTATAGCTGGACCATTTTTAGGATAGTATTTTTCTGTTTTAAGCACTTCTTCAGCGTTAACTAGCTGAGTTGTGATGGGTGAAAAGGTATTTTGAACGAATTAAAATTGAAATTGTCTGTATGCTGGCACCCGTTTTCCCAGCATGAAGCTATGGTCAATAAAACATGAACCCTATCCCTATCCATTGACAATCAAGACAAAGATTAAAGCATATGTGATGTCCTTGTCATGGAGGCATGCCACAACCTTTTAGGGAAACCTGGGCAGTATAACTTACAAGCTATACAACGAGAGAAAGACAACACTCAGGAATTTCATTGGATGGGCAAGAAAGTGGTTCTTATACCACTAGGGAAGACATGACAAAAAACTGAGGGAGAACATCCTAAGAGCCAAGTCTTTTCAACTATCAAGGGCAAACATTTTTCAGTGTCAGAATCAAAAGAAACATGGGCTATGGCTATCAAATCAGAGGAAAAAACAGAGAATTCAATCCCACTAGACAGCAGCATCAGCATATTTTTGGAAGAACTCGAGCATTTACAAGCTGAACCAAATGGTCTACCCCATTAAGAACTATTCAGCATCAAATGTACCACAGTCCTAATGAGTCCAAGGTTATACAAGTACAAATTCTCACTGAAAAGGGGCACATACAACCGCACTTGAGTTGTTGTGCTGTCCCAGCCATTCCAACTCCTAAGAAAGATAAGATCACAACCAAGCATTGATCCACGGGGAGGTCATCATTTGAGATTACCTATACCAAAACTTCCACTTCTCCCTGTTGATCTCGTTACTGATATTCCTTCGCATGTGGATTTTAGTGGTGCAGCAGAAGAGGTGGCTAAGAAAATCGTCAAGTTGTCCAAGGATGCTCGTGACTAACATGAAAGATCAAACATTGTTCATAAGTGGGCAGCAGACATGCATTAGGAAATTTGGCCATGGTTCATTTGAAGAAGTTTTGACTGCCTACTGGTCATCATAACAAGCTCACTCCCAAAAAGAATGGTCTTATTTGCATATTTCAATGGATTGGTTCTACTGCTTATTCATGTAGCACTACCACCAACAATGACATCCACCTTACTTTTACATGGCCGATATTTTTTAACTACCATGCCCCTGACTGCTTGAACTCATGGTCGACTTCTTTTCTTCGACAGGTGGAATTGATGTAAAGATCTTTGGGATCTTCCAGATTTTCAGCAAGTATTTTTGTAATTCTAAGTGATCTTTCAAGATTCTTTTGTAATCTTCCAAGATCTTGTTAATCTTGGAATTGAAATTAGGGGTTAGCTAGACTCCTTTTAGGATAGTATTTTTCAGTTTTAAGCACTTTTTCCGTTAAGTTGTAGTCGGCAAAAGGGTATTTTAAATGAATTAGAATTGGAATGGTTTGATTCACACATTAGACTCTCGACACCTTTGTCTTGGCAGGGCCTCAAACACAAATTACAGAACGATTCCACTTTTGTTGTTGTAGATTGATATGGTAGGTAGTACCTTTTATTCCTTGCAAGAAAACAAATGATTTTGTGCATAAAGAAAATAATGAAATAAAAAGAACTATTTTTTTGCAGATATTGTTCACTGACAGAGAATCCCAAAAACAATTAGAAGGCATCATGATACAAAAAATCTTAAGCCATTCTTGGAAGAGTTTGTACAAATAATTTGATGACAAAATTATGTAAAATATAAACTTTAGTCCCAATGTTTGGTTATTTTCTTCAACCTAGCCCCACAGTTTAAACAGTTTAAGTCTCTCTTTGAGAATTATTTTCAACATTTCTTATGGAGTCAAATCTGGTATCTAGTGCTAATATATCGGCTTGGATAGCTAATCTCAACGAGGAATTAGATTGGAAGGAGAAACTTCTTTGTTAAATAAAGTTCGTTAAAAGTAAGATGGAGATTATTCCCAATACTTGATTGGGTTTTCAGAAGTTTACTCCAACTTCTATAGGCAGTTCGATATTAATTCTCTTGATTCAATTTGATGTATTAGTTCTTTGTGAGGTTTTTAAGTTTATCATACGTTATGGGTTGCAGTTTCTTTGTATTCCTTTACTTTTCCTTTCTCACTCCTTTTGGAGTTTGTATCCATTAAGCAATTTTCAATGAAACTGTTATTTAAAAAAAAAAAAAAAAAAGTATCTACAACAAAACTTATATTTAATTTTTTATTTAAAATAAAAAAGGACATTTGTCCTCTATCCTTGGGGGAAAAAAACCATGTGAACTCACAAAGATGAAGGAAAAAGGCCTAATGAGCAATGAGAACTCTAAAACTAAAGCCAAATTTCAACCCCAAATCTAGGGATAGAACAAACTGAAAAGCGACTAAGTTTTGAATCCTCATGCGAAGGTTGGGGAAATCAGCTCCCAGTGATAAACAAAACTCTAATGCATAGAAGAAATATGATGTTGCCAATAACTTCTACTATTTCTAATCCAGATGATTACTCATAATAACACATTTCCTATGATTTCCAAAATATCACATCTTCTTCCAAACCAGAAGGCACAAGAAATTCTTTTAAACAATTAAGAATATACTAAATATTCAACTAAAACCAATGTACTCAAATAAAAAGTTGAACCTCTTTGCCACCACTGGAGCTGTCTGTCGCTAAAAGCTGGAAAACAAATGCCCTCTCATATTTTTCAGCTTCCTCATCTGAAGCAGCCTGACACCCAATGCACAGCAGGAAAATTCACAATTACTAAAATTAACCTTACTCAGAAGGCAAAGGATAAGAGAAAAATCTTTTCTTTTTTTCTTTTTTTGGAAAGGAAATTAAACTTATCATTGATATTATAAAGTGGAAAGAGACTAGCACTCAAACATACAAAATTTCGAAAGAAAAAAAAGATGAAATAACAATAAGAAAGATATGAGAAATGATTACAACTGAAAGTGAGCTCAAGCCAAATAGGACCAAAAATCTGAATCTAAAAGAACAACAAAAACTTGGAAAGAGAGCATCATAAAGAAGCCATGAGACAAGTCGTGCCAAAACGAACAAGACAATGTAGCAAAACATCTAACCAAAAAACTAATAAGAGATAGTTAACTGCAGTAGACCATAAAACTCTAAAATTGGCATCATGAGAAGAATGATAATCGGACATGGGCTGGGTAACACCCCCTTTTGAAAACCACAAAGCAGATCAAAGAACCAAAAGGCAATACCCCACATACAAACGAAAAAAACAGCCACAAAAATTCCATGAGATTGCTACCAATTCTGACCAAACAAAGTAAACGCAGGAAACACAATTAAACTGTGACTTCCAAAAATCGAGTAGGAATTGACTGGCATCTGAAGACCACACGCTGCAACAAGAAAAAAGAATTTTGCTGGAGTTAAGGGAGAAGATACCGGTGGAGCGGCTGCTGCATTAGGCTATGCTAAAATTGACCCACTGGCTTCACTAGAAATAAATTAACGGTTAACAACTCTTTTCTCTACCCAACATTCTACATTTTAGGGAAACAAACCACCTACATAACCTAAAACCACACCCCTGCCCCACTAGAGCCTCTGAAGGCACCATCCACAAAAGATCAGCCACACTATGTTGAAAGATGAACATACTTGCTAAGCATCCCTCACCATTCCACTGTACCCAGCAACACCACATCCCCTTCTTTTTTTATATGAAACTTTATCCTATAAAATGATTAAAAAAAACACAATGAGGCCAGCCTAAGGGCAGAGAGGGTAAAAGGAAACCCCTCTCAACAGGAAACTATCAGAAAAAGGCTCTCCAATTTGTAAGGACCTATCCATCCAAATTAACCAAAGGATGGCTCCCACAATATATGCCCAAAGGGTCTTAGCCGTACCCTTAAAGGTCATACCATCAAAGCTTCTATCAGCCAAATTTACACTCTATTTAGTAAACAAAACAAGAGGCAAAGCTCTTTGAAAATAGAGATCCATTCCTTGCTAGCTTGGAGATAAAGGACCCGTAAGCTTCCACCATCCATTTAAGATGATCCACTCCTACTTGTAATTGTACCTCATCCAATTTTCCAATGAGGGTAGCCCAATTATCCATCTCTCAGTCAAACAAATTTCTTCTAACCCCCATGTCCCAAGTTTTTCGCCCAACAATCCAGAAAGAACGACGGTTGCTTCTTTCTTTGTAGTTATGGTGTAAATATCAAGGAACAAGGTAGAGGAACACGATCCACACGCATCTTCCCCCCCAAAAAAAAGAAGACTTGTTGGTCATTATAACTGTAAGCTTAGTGAAATTAAAGAGGCAACCTATGTTTTTTACGATGTCCATCCATAGTCGTCCCCTTATGTTTCCTTTGACAATTTTTCTCATACAACTATTCGAGTCACATCCACACATCCCCTTACTTCACTCCACCCAAACAATCCTCCCCCAAAGATTTACCAGCAAAATTCAAATGTTTCCTGCACAGCCGTCAATGTGCCAGAACTTTCTCACTGAGATACAAAGAAGAGTAGTTCTTACTTTCTAACAGAACAATCATTGAGATGCAAAATAGTGGAAAGCAACCAGTGTCGCACTCAATACCAAGGGCCTACTCAATGGAGGCCATGAAAAAGGAGTACCCTCATCCACGGTCTTTCCCTTAATGCACGAGCCACGCTGCACTAAAATAAGGACTAGTCCTTAAAGGCTTAAGTGCAAAGCACAAAATAGAAATCTATGAAAAGAAACTGGTTCTTTAAAAATAAAGAAACTAAGTTTTAATTAGAATAATTGATGAGGTCAATACAAAAAAGAAAGCAACAATTCAAAAGGGGCTTCAAAAGGTTAATAAGTACTATAAATCTACAAAAGGGGTTCCAATTCAGAGGTAAGTTTGTTCATAGTTTACAACTATATTAAATTGTTTAGGTTTTCCTACCCAAGGTATAGAATAGCATACATATACAATGGTGTCAAGCTGTTGAAGAATTAAATTGTTAAACACCAATTTGAAACTGAATGACATTAAGTTTTTTCAGTCAAAAGGTATAGAGAGAAGGAACTCAAAAATAACATGCTGTGACGAGACATAAGGAAGCATACTCACATTCACAATAAAAGATATAAACGGATTGGAAGATGATTTCTGCGAGGAATATGTCTGGTGAAGAATGGAAAATCCCACCAAACGTTGTGTGGCATGGAGCAACTTCTTGCGCTGCATTTTAGACCCATTAACCAATAATCCATAAAGAGAAAAAGCAGTCAAGCCTTCAACATTTAATGACTTCATGCAAAATATAAGAAAAACAAATGGAAATAAACATACCAAAGATGCAAGAATTCAAGCATCACTATGCAAACATGTTTCTATAGCGGGAATCAAGATTATATCCTAATTGTTCTTTTTGTTTTGGTAAGAATCACACTTTCATTAAGATGATGAAAGAATGTACAAGGGCATACAAAAAAAACCAATCCCGACAAAAAGGAGAAGAGTTTGATACAAGCTACTAAAACGGACTCCAATCTAAAAGAACAAGATTAAGCTCATAATTGAAAAAGAAGTCTAGTAACTGGCACCCGTAAGGAAGCATTAAATCTAGCCAACCCCTAAACATCCTCATTCCATCGCTGAATCTCTCTAAAAATTATATTATTCCTCTCGCTCCAAATGCCCCACAAAATACCAAGAAAGTTGTCCTGCCACAAAACTGTACCCTTCTCCTTAAATGGAGTGTTCAAGAGCACCTCCTCCTCCATCTGATTTCTGTCACCTCTATGCTACCTCCGACAAACCCCAAACAATCTCAACCAACAACTCCAAAGAAAGTGAGCGAACTTACAGCCCTCATAAGATATTATCAAAATGCTCCTCGTACCACCTATAGAGAATGCACCAATACAGGAACAACACTAGGAAAACGTGTCTTTGAACACGATTCATGGTGTTGACTTTGTCATGTAAAATTTGTAATTCAAAAAACTTGACCTTCTTTAGAATTTTAACCTTTCAAAGAGAGGCAAAAAAGGATCAACGGCAGGGGGGAAAGAAGAAGATAGAAGATGAAACAAGCAATGACAAGAGAAGCCCCTAAAGGGTCTGGGGCCCAAAACCTAACATCCCTTTTCCCAAGAACGTGAATTTATAGCTTGAAAAAGGGAAAGAAGCGCCATGTCCGCTACCTCACTATTCGTCAAAGGTCTTCGGAAACCCAAGGAGATGGAGGAGGAAGGATTTGAGAAGGTAACATAGAGGCTACCGAATATAACCTCTTATTCGAGAGGCGGTAAAACTATGGAAACAGAGTATAAAGAGACACTCCCCATCCATCAATCCTCCCAAGAATAAACTACGAACTTTTCCCAACAGAAAAAGTGAGAAATTGAGAAATAGAGGGAACCCATAAGAGATAGCTTTCCAGAGGCTTTTATAAGGGCTTCACAAACTACCTTCAACCCCCATCTCACCCGTCTATTCCCAAGCGAAGTCTCTCATCATGCTCTCAATTTTTTTACTAACCCCAAAAGGAATTCTGAACAAGGAGGTGAAGTAACTTGGTCTAAGGGTCCAAAATCCACAGGGAGATGAAGTTCGTGTTCTAATTGTCTCACCAGCTCACACTAACATAAAGAACAACAATGTGCACAAAAACAAAAGAACAGAAATCCTAGCATTCCTCTTTCAAGTGAAAAAGAAAGGCTCCATAATAATGATAAAACTACAAAGCAAACAAAAGGTTACTACCAAACATAGCAATCTATGTCTAAAAAAGAACTGCAAACTAAAACCATGCATAAGAGAAAACCCCACTTCCAAGAAAACCCAAAATATCTAAGACTAAACTAAAATGACAAAATAAGTAAATGAGAAAAATTCCTACACAGCGTGAAAACTATTGACGATTTAAGATACCTCTCGCTTGTATGAAACTCAGTGAACAAAATCTTCTGCTACGCTGTAAAAGTTCTATTTTCTTTTATACAATTGCATTAGTAAACAGGTTGTAAAACAACAACCGACGTTGTCAAGATGACTCGAATAAAAGAGATGGACTGAGGTTGAATACTGAAGAAATTGTTATAATTTACCGGATGGAGATTGGAAAACTATTTTGACACAGTTTATGTGGCCTCAAAATAGACCCAACGCAAAAAAAAAAGAAAATTTTTTTTTTAAAAAAAAGTACATATTACAATTGCAACACAGTTTATGCGGTCACAATTACATCGATTCAGGTTATACATCCATAGCGTGTATTAGAGCACGGTGCCACGGAAGCATGTAGTTACAGGTTGAATTACGAGAAGATTGAATTACGAGATTTGCAAATGAAGTACAACCCTAAAGCCGGTCGTAAAGAAATAAATCAGCACAAATCATACAAGAGTGAAATTAAGACAAAAGAAAGAAAGTTCATGGGAAGAGAAATTGAATTACCTCCAACAGAATAACGAGAGAATAACAAGCAACAAAGTGACGAGTGCGAGGGATCTTGGTGGTAAAATCGGAGATGATATCCAGAAATGTGCGGTGATCTCCTCCTGCTAGCAAAGAGTAGAGCGTTCGGGATTCATCCACCGTCAGGCTCATCATCATGCTTCCTCTCCTTCCTTCCTTGTTCGAGATTTTGAAGAACAACGCAATGGCAGGTGTAGAACAAATAGCGATTCGGACTCTCTACACAAAATTCCCTTTAAAAGTAAATCTTCGACTTATATAAGCTTTCTTTTCGTTTTCAACGAATAGTTTTTTATTTTATTTTTTTAATTTTATTATATTGTAAAAATCAAAACAATTATATTTTTTTTTAATGTTAATTATTGTTAATAAAAAAATTATTTATTAAATAATTATAGATTGATTTGTATTTGTTTGTAAGCTTTTAATGTCTACGACTGTATCAAATAATTATAAATTATCGATAAATAAAACTTTTACAAAAGAATTAAAAAACTGGACCACCCAACTCCAACTCAACCAAAAAATGGAGGATTTCATGATTTTGAAAAAATTCGGGTTAGGTTAGGTTACCAACCCAAACTTTTTGGTCCAAAAAAATTCCCTCAACCCCACCCAACCGGGCTCATGTACACCTTAATTACCATATTTTGCTTTTATTATTATTGTGGCCGTGTAAACTTGCACGTATCTGACTTTTTCGAATAGTATAGGCACGTTTTTTGTCACAAAGTTGAGGTGGGAGAGACTATTATGGCATGAGGATCCTTCGATTCAATTTTCCTTAGCAATTACCTAACAACAAATTTGACTCGGTGTGGCATTAGTCCTATGCGTCTCATATCAGCTAATTTAGGGAATGATTGTGAGTTTATAATAAATGAATACTCTTTCCGAAATCTTTTGGGAAAGCCCAAAGCAAAGCACCAGAGCTTATAGTGAACAATATCATACTATTGTGGAGAGTTCTGTTCATTTAATGACTCCAACATTTTTGGTGATGTGTTATTTTCGCAAATGAATCATCTCATAACCCCTTAAAAGGATTCTTCCATCTCGACCTTCCATCATCAACTTGAAGTCTTTCTGTTATGCGTTTGATACACACAATTGAGAGAGTAACCAATTCCAGTGATCATTGAGATATGGGAGCGAAGTATGCAATTGTATCAAAATTGTGCAAAAACGACACCAGAGTCATCAGATCATCAATGAAAAAGCAACGAAAAAGTCGAGGGTTCATTCTGCAGTTTCGGGTGAAGAAGACGAATCGTCAGGTCGAATATTCGGACTCGAGTACGATCCACGACCCGCACGCAGTTTCCAATCCAACTTTCACGACCCAAGTTCTTTACAGTCCAACTCAATCACGTCTCAACCCAACTAAGCAGTTTGAGTCCACTTGGTTCAGCCTAACCAACGACTTGTATACCCGCGACGACCCGTGCCTTCTTCGGCTGCACACATGCTCACCACATGATCTTTCCAATTGTGACTTGGCTTTGGCGTGTGTGATAGCTGGATTGGCTTGGCTCACATCTCTGTCGGCTCGATTTTGCGGCTCACTCCGAAATTTTAGGTTTTGAGAGAGGAATAACTAATCTAGAAACATAATAAACCATTGAAGTTAGAAGAGATTATTTCCCTTGTTGTAATGTAAAGGAAACAAATCTTAGAAAATATTTAAACTAAATACCTAAAAATACTACTATTTTGACAAATTCTTCCAATAGGCAACTCGACTTCTCCGCAGGTCCGTATACAAATAATATATCATTTCTTAGGTCTCCGACCCTCTTGAAGCCATTTTTTACCTAAAACATTTGAGGTTAGTAGACTCCTATTTACTCGGCTTTAGTTAGTTTTATGACTTATCTTAAAATAATCACCCTGCTTGATTAAGCTAAAATATTAATATGTCTCGTATATGTCATGTGAATTGATATAGGTGAGAATTGAACATTGGAAGCATAGTTTAGAAGTTACTACCAAGTAATTAGTAACTTCGGCGGCCAAGGCCAACGACGTAAGCCGGTTGGAGTTAACTAATTGATTGATGTATGATGGTACATGTCGTGTGGCCTGCCATATTAAATGTGTAATGCTTATACTATGTGATGCTTATGTGTTTTTGTACTGTCATATGATGTATATCATGTATGCGTGTTATATCCATTACACTGTATTACCAATAAATTGAAATGTCATGTTTGAAAGGTTATGTCTTACATATAAAGTTATGTCGTGGATTACGAGACATTTGTCATGTGTACATATTGCATATATAAAAAAATATTATGGAGAAAAAGAGAAAGGAAATGATATAAGTATTATGTTGTGAATCATACATGTTTGTATGTCATGTGCATCACGATACTTCCCTATTATGTTATGCTAGTATGGACGTGAACCTTTGATATTTATGTTCGTCATGATATCATGTGGATCTTTCCTTTTTCTGAGGCGTCAGGTGATGCGTAATGCTTTATGCACGACCAAGTCAGGCCCAGGGGTACGTATATAAGCCTGCCTGGTGGGTCCATGTGCGCGTATGTAGGCCGTGTGTGAAGAAGTACTATACATTCAACCCTGCCCATAACTAAAAAGAGCCTAAGGTCATGTTACGGTTTTAATAGATAGGTCTCATTCATGTATTATATGTGATTGCATTACTAACCCCAACAGCGGGGTGACTTACTGTATATTTCATAAAATACTCAAGTCACATATTACATTCATATTTTCTAGGTGAAGTTAAACTCATGCACAAATGACGGAGAACGCTAGAAAGACCGTAGAGGTCGTAGTAGATCGCATTAAATTTTTATTAGTAGTTGATAGGTGTTTTTAATGCCGTTTGTTTTATATTTAAAACTATGTTATGTTTAATTTCGTGGATTTGAACGGAATACGTAAGTCCATAGCTTCATTTTAAAGGTATTTATTATGATTTTTCACTTATGCAATTAAAGCATGCATGAGTTGACGTCACTAATTAGGTTAAGAAAATTAGGGGCATTAGAAAAATGAGGAAGAATCTGAAGAGGAAGTGATAACAGAAGGAGTTATCTGAAGAAAGCACACGGAGGAACAAAATAACACTATTATGGATGGAAGATTATGGGTACAAATTTTACGAAGAAGTTGAATACAATAATTTAGTTCTATTAACCTAACTACAGATCCAACTAACTTTGAAAACACGGTTCAAAATTCAAAATGGAGAGCTGTAATGGACTTGGAGACAGAAGTCATCGAAAGATATGAGACTCAGGAGTTGACAAATTTGTCCAAAGGAATGAAGAATATTGGAGTAAAGTGGGTTTTCAAAACTAAACTTAACGAAAACGGCGAAGTTGACAAGTATAAGGCTAGGTTGGTGGCCAAAAGGTATGCACAACAACATGATATAGACTCTACCGATGTGTTTGCACCGGTGGCTAAGTGGCATACTATTAGAATAATAATTTAAATACGCCATCCATACATCGACAATAACTAACTTACTTTTAAAATTTTATGGGTATTTTTTAAATACGCCCGACAATTTTTTGAATTAAAAAAAAAAGTTAAATAACATTAAAGAATTTATTTTAAAGTTGAAAGATATTTTTAAAAAATTATTATTTTTTTTGAAATAAAGAATAAAATTTAATAATGTTTTTTTTAAAAATAATAATTAAAATATAAATAATGGCTAAAATGTTAAAAATTAAAGTTCACATTCCACATTTCTTGGAATAAATTTTAAGGGAAAAAGGAGTGATTTTTATTATTAATTAAAAATGTTGTAAGGCTTCTGTTACTGAGCGAAAGAAAATCCGAGAAAAGGTCAAATGAGGAAGGGACCTGAAGTACATAATAAACAATGGCGACGAGCGTCGTATAATTCACTCACTCGGACTTTCGGAGAACTGAAGCGCCCGGGCGCAGGAACCGACGTCAATCCGCACACAACACTGTGGATTTCACTGATTGCTTCGATCATTGATTGTTGATTGATTGATTCATTCGGGTTCGAAAGAGTTGATTTGTTCGAGCTAAAGTTCAAGCTAGAGTTGAGTTCTTCCTTTTATCTGTAATCTTCATTTCTTGTTTGTTTATTCGAAGAAATCATCGAAACCCCATCATCCATCTGTGAATCATTACGGGACAGATAGAGAATTGGAATTTAAGTTATAGGTCATCTTTCTTCTGCCCCCACTGGGTTAGGGTTTTCTTTTCCGTTTTTCTTTTGGGCTTCACTCCTTATTTATACATCCATCTTACTCTCACTGCTTCTGAGTTGTTTAAATGTTCAAAAGTGGGAGGCGGCACGCCTACGACCCCATTCTGCTGCTAAATTTAACGCCGGTTTGAGACGCAGGGCCATTCTGGTTCGGATCATTCCTCTATTAGTTGTTTTGAGCTAAATTTGAGCTAGAAGTAGAAGATGGAAAATGGTTTCGAGGGGAGATCATTGGCTGAAAAATTCTCGGAGTTGGGCGTCAGTGCTGCTCCAGCAGAGCAATCTAACTCCCTCTCATCCAACAATCACAGTAACAACAACGATAGCAACTTGTTTCAGGTTTTGAAAGCTGTTGAAGCAGCCGAGGCTACCATCAAGCAACAGGTGCAACGAATTGTCCTTCCTCCCTCTCATTTCCTTTCTCTCAGCATCCCAACTTCATTATTACTTCCTCACGTTTTCTTTCTGAAACCCATTTCACGTTTTCAATTTTCAACATAATGCATACCGTTAATTGAGTATTATTTCCATTAAGAATGTTGTAGGAATGTAGAGAGACGTGCTGCAGGACCCGTACCTTTTTACTCATCGAAATCTGTTCACCCTTTCTGTGCAATTATCCATACCAGAAAATTCACCTGCTTGTTCCTGATCCTAGTTTGCATTTTTAATGACCCATTACTGTTTTACATATCATGCCAGGAACATTTGACTAAATTATACCATATATATTGTGGCTACAGCTCAGCCTCCATAGTTTAATGTTATATGCTGATGTGAGTGTATTTAAATACTATTAGGTGGAGGAAAATAATCGACTGAGGATTGAACTTCAGAAAAAGATTCAGGAACTTGAGAAATGTGTAAGTACTATAAGTTGAATTTACCTAAAATCTTATGTGTTCTTTTGGATGTAAATTGATTGTGGTTGATTTTTTGCACGCTTCTTTAATTATTTTCACTTCTTGCATTCAGTCCAGATGTTATACAGTACGCATATCAGTTTGAAAATAATTGGAACTTGTTATAAAGAACAAAGAACAAAGAAAAGGCAAGAAAACAGCCTAGGAGTTTGGGCTAGAGGAATCTCCTACGAAAGAATAAACATTGTAATGGTAAATAATCATGAGAGAGCTGTTACTTAAAATAAATTTCTTGTTGTTGACGATGTGTTGTATACTATTTGCAAAAGTTTCTTTGAAACCCCTTGTTTTCCTTTCACAAGAGCCAAGTAATAAAGTTCAATAAAATCTTAGCCTTGATTCTAAACCTCCAATCTGCAAGGACTTGGCCAATCATCATCTTTCTAGGTAGACACGTAGAATGATCATATTCATTCAAAAGAAAAGACCAGCCCTTAGAAGCAAAAGGATGATGAAGGAAAAGACACTCCAAAGATTTTTCATCCTTATTTCAAAGACAGCAAACTGAGGGGATAAGGCCCAGTTGGGGAATTGCATCTAACCTAAGCTATTGGATGCATCTATGTTTATTTGTGAAGGTAAAACTTGAAAAGACCAAACTCTTCATTGTGGTCCTAGTCTAATAAGAATTGAACATGCAAGATAAGGTTCAGAAACAGACAATTCCTTGGTTATTTTGCCCTAAGTTTTCTTTTTTATTGATGTTATATATATATTTTTTTTTCATGAGAGGCCAAAGGCTTCATTCACCAAGGGGATGAAAAATGAGGCAAGGAGATAAGACATAAAACTGGGAAGCACATCAAAATGATTTCAAAATGGAGAAATTGGTTTAATAGACTTTTATGTCCTTTGTCTTGTGGTCAAACTAGCTATTTGGGTTAGTTAAGTTTTAATTCTTACCTAGCTTTTCCTTTTCTGCTTTGGTTAGTTGGTTAGCTGGTTAGTTGTTAGTCTCGGCCAAGGCTTGTAAGTTGATCTACATGTACTCAGTTGAGGATTGATTGAAAAACTTAATAAAACTCCAAATTAAAGGATACCTCATATTGTTATCCGAGCATCGTGAGAAAGGGCTTGATGGCTAGCCAGTTCGATGTGTTGGGTCTAGGTGTAGCTCAACCAACACCGATGTGGAAGCATCTTACTACTCATGCACGACGAACAGAAGACGGCCATTTTGGAGTAACGAGGGCAGGGACTGTAAGAGGGCATATAATCAGCCTTATGTGGCCCTTATTCAATAAATCTTGAATTTGTTTTTGGAGTATGATATAATCTTTGGGGTTCATTTTATAATGTCGGAGGTTTGATAAATTGGAACCAAGAATTAGGTTAACGTGGCATTGGATATTGCATGAATGAGGTAATCCATGAGGTTCTTTTGTGATTTCAAGGAATTCTTGAAGAATTTGTCAGGCTTCTTGGTGATGTTAATTAAGTGGATCTGAATCAGACATAGGCAATGACCCTCACAATTCATTTGTGGTGTAGTTCCTTTCCACTAAGGATAGTAAAAAGAGGACTAGACTTCTTGATACTTCCTTTGTCAACATTTTCTTGTCTACTCATAGGCATCCAGATAAATTTCGTCCGCGTAATAAAATTTATACGTATTATCAGGCCCGTTGTGCAAGGCTTGAACATTGTATTGCCAAGGCCTTCCCATATTATGTGACAAATATCCATATATAGGATGTCACATACTATTTGTTCCTTGTAATTATTGCCAATTGCAATGGGACAGTGGGCTTCCCCAACTTTTTTGATCCAACTCACGAATGGGGATCAACCTTGAGTTTAAGGACTAAACGAACTTCCTAAACACAAGGTTTTCATTGCTACCACTATCTATTATCACTTACTTTTCTGTTAATGGTATACTGGGTTAAAACAAGCATGTTGCTTCTATTATCCCTTGTACTTCAGCGTTAATAGTATATTGGGTTAAAAAAAGAGCACGTTTCTAAGAGGAGCTGTTGCAACTCAAAATAATTGTTCTGTCTGTTCCTCATCATTGTTAGCATCTAGAGTTGCCATTGAGCCTTGCCAAGGACATTCATTGGACAAATGACATTGCTGACCACATTAAATCATTTACCCAAGGTAGGCCAATTGTAAAGAAAGTGGTTGTTGGTTTGTTTCCCTTCTAATCCTCTTGTTGGTCGAGTAGGTATTGATCTTTCATCAAAAGTTGTTCATAATCAACGGGAAGTAACCAATTTTTTATTAGCCTCAACATCTTGGCCATGTGTAGATTGGGCCCTTGCCATACCTTCAGTGATTGGTCTTTAGCAGGTCCCACCAGGCTACGACACCTCTTTCATTCAATTTAAACGCTATCGGTTTCACCTTCTTATCCTCTTGAGTACTGACATACACACAAAAGTTCTTGACATCCTTGACCGAATCTGAGAATAATTCAAGATCTAATTTCTCTCTTAAAGTTGGTAAATCCACCTTCATCGTTTAATCATTAATGTTACCGTAGTGCTTGAGCTATTGAGGATAGGCTTTGATTTGTTTGTTTTCTTGGAAAGGAGGATATTCAGGCATTTCTTCTTCATTGGATCTGCCCCATTCGGGTGGTCTTGATAAATCAAAACGTAATTTAGGTCTTTTGGCTTAAGGAGGAGTATTTCTTGGAGGATATTAAATGATCAATCATGTATCTTGGAGCTTCTTTGACCCATGTTGATAGGCTTCTATTGATTTTGGTACAAGGATAATTTTTGTAGGTTTTTTTTGTCCCTGTTGAGGCATTGTGGCTGTGGAGTTGGAATTGGGAGGTCAACTATTCAAGCTGCCAAGCTATAACACCCATTGTCAGGCACATTTCCATTACGTGCTCTTCAATGGAAAGTACTTGGATCGACAAGGTTCAAGGTAAAAGAGTGAGTAGAGGGTTGGAAGATTTGTGATTGGATGAAGTGACACCTTCAATGGTGGTGGAGGGATTCTTCTTTCTCTCCATTTCAACCCCTTCCAAGGAAGATTGTTCTGATACCGAGGTTGATGTAAAATAAATTCTTGTCGAAGTCTTTATTTAATGAAGAAGAAAATAAGCCAATATTAAGAAACAAGCTCTATATAGGGAGCTTGTTCAACAACGTAGCTAACCCATAGGTAAGACTTAATATAAAATAAAAGACTAATACTAACCATTTGGTAAAAGTCTAACTTCAACAAAAGGGTAAAGTTTAACCATATAGTAACTATAGGATAAACCTAATGCACCTTTCACTTAACCAACAAATGTCTGCACACACGAACCCTATCAAGAAGACAGTGAAACGGAACACGTAATGGATGAGTAAGAATTGGAGGATTTATCAATAGATCTAAAAATGGATGTTATTCAATGTTGGCTGTTGTTGATTTATTTAGTAAGATGTCACATCTTGTAAGAAAGCCACAAATGCTTTGAATATTGCTAATTTTTTCTTCCAAAAAATTGGTTGCCTATATGGGATTCTTAAGACTAGTATCATATCTTGGCATTAAGTTAATGAGCTTGGAAGAAATTTTTTGAGGCAATTTGGTACTAGCTTGTGTGCACTTCAGGCCATCCCCAAATGGATGGTCAATGGAGGTTATTAGTCAAATCCTTAGCAATCTTATATGATGTGTGAGAACCCACATTGATGGGGACACAATCCCACATTGGTTGGGGAGGAGAACGAAACACCCTTTATAAGGGTGTGGAAACCTTTCCCTAGCAGACGCGTTGTAAAGCCTTGAGGGGAAGCCTGAAAGGGAAGGTCCAAAGAGGACAATATTTGAGGGAAAGGGGAAGCCTGAAAGTTGGGCCATTCAACATCTTTGCTAAATTTGTCACCAGAGGGTACCTTGTTGATAGCTAATCTCATTTACACATCAAGTTAACATTTAATATTGTTGATCTTTATAATTACCATGCTAGGGATGAGTTCTCTTTGGTTCCTTATTCAGTCAAGGTCAAGTTATTTTTGAGGTGGAGAAAGTCTTTCTTTTTTCATGTGGCCTAACTAGCCGTTAGATTGGTTAAGGTTTGACCACTAGTAGCTTTTCCTTATGTGTTCTAGTTAGTTGGTTAGTTGTTGTTTCTGTTACTTGTTAGTCTTGGCATCGTACCATAAATTGATGTACATGTCCTCGGCGGAGGTTGATTTCAAACAATGAAACTCTCAAGGATACAACAGAAATTGAAGAAGCCTCTCTCTCTCTCTCTATATATATATATGTATGTATAGATATATTTGGATAAGTGACATTCAAAGAGAAGCTAAAAGGAACAACCTAAGGGGGCTCGAGGTAGAGGACACAATATATGCAAATACAATGTACATTTCAGAGAATAACACTTGTAACATTTCTCCAAAGGATTTTTTCTTTTCCCCTAAAGCTGCCGTGTCCTTGAGTTCTAAGAAACTAAAAACCATTTTGTTAAGTTAAACCTTTCTTTCCAGTTACTTTTTCAATTAAAAACCTACTATATTCCATAAGAAGGTGACTGTAGTCTTCCATTATGCCCAATCAGGCAAATTTATCCAACGCAAAATAGCTTTTGGTTTAAGTTAATATGGATACCATTTGCAACTTCTTGATGTATCCCAGTATCAGCAATGGGTTGGATCTCTTCCATACATTTCTATGCTGATTGTCATCTACGATTGCTGCTCGTTTGCAACTTAGGTTCATTAGCTCGCCAAGTTATCTTTATATGCGATGCAGGTACTTGAAATTTCTCTTCTTACTCACACTTGATTGTTTGATTTGAATAGGAAACAAGACACCTTTTTATTGGTAATATGAAATAGATGTACTATGATTGTTAGGTGTTATGAATGTCCCTTTCGTGGATATTGCTCTTGCTCTCTGTTATTTGTTTGCGTACAACATATTGCTCAATTGTATCTAATAATTTGTTTTTGACATGCTATCATTTTTTCATTGAATGTGGCAGAAGGTTGATGAACCTTTGGCTCAAAGGTTTCATTCCTCAAACCAATGGAATGAGAAGGTCCATCATGAATCTAATGGGGATCATCAATCAGATAGTTCAGTTGATTACGAAAGGCATAGATTTAAGAATAATGTTTCTGTTGTTGATTCACACGGAACGCTAGTTGTCCATCAAGATGTTGAGCACAAAGATGAAGTTTCCATGCAAGTTGATACAGAATCTCGCTTTGAGGACAGCAAGTCGGACAGGATGGTAAAAGCTCTTACCAGTGTTCTGCCTCCAGTTGATAATGCTGGTTGCTCGCAGTTCTCATCACCATCTACAACATCTTTATCTGCTAGCAGGCAAGTAAAAAAGGATGTCATTCATCCTTACTGGTGAAATGATATTATGTTATTCGTTTGCATAAAATATTGAACATGTAAACTATTATGGGACTTTCCAGGTTTACAGTGGATGTAGAATATGATCCACGGATTAAGTTGTCTGGACATGGCATGATGCCAAAGTCTGATGCAAATAATCCCAACAGTCTCTGGAAGCAGGTACATATCTCTTGGTTCTAGCACTATTTTTTTCCATATATTTACGAGGAAGCCACTCTGATCTATGTTTCATATTTAGGACCTTGTTGTTAAAGTCCAGGAACATGAAGATGAAATTGTGCAGTTGCGGAAGCATCTTGCTGATTATTCTACCAAGGTAAAATGAATCATATGGAATATCTTAGCCCATTGCTTTGATGACTTTGATTTGATTGTTCTATCCATTTTTGTTAGGAAATATTTTACTTGGAGACGATATTAATTCTTTTTGTAACAGGAGGCACAAATACGAAATGAAAAATATGTTCTGGAAAAACGAATTGCCTATATGCGTTTGGTAAGCAGGGTTTTATTTTGAACTCAATTTCAATTGCCTTCCTTAAACTTCTTAATTTTATGATTTTCATCGTTTCCATTCTGATTGGTTCTCTGCGGTTGGACTTCTTTTCCTTCTTGGTGTTCTTCGTTAGGCCTTTGATCAACAACAACAAGATCTTGTTGATGCTGCTTCTAAAGCTCTCTCATATAGACAAGAAATAATTGAGGAAAATATTCGTCTTACATATGCATTGCAGGTTCGTTCCTTCCTATGCCATTTCTGACGTGGCTTCTGGTTTTTTCAGAATGCTCAATTTTGTTACCATTAACTAGTTTGATATAAATCTAGTAGCTATTAAAATGAAAATTGCATTTTCTTTCCTAATATGAACTCTAACGAACTCCTCGACTCTAATCTGGTTATATCAGGAAGCACAACAAGAGAGAACCACATTTGTATCATCGCTACTACCTCTTCTTGCGGAATATTCACTTCAGCCTCCTGTGCCTGATGCTCAGTCCATCATCAGCAATGTCAAGGTGAGCCTTTTAAGTATGTGGATTTGTATGAATCACCTTAGAACTTTGCAAGTTTACTGGAGGGATATGACTATGATAGTGGTACAGTGAGGATAAAAGGATAACTCTCCCCAAGACGTTTAACCTTCAGTTGTTATTATGATTCCATAGTGTCTAGTACAACTTATAAGCCCTCTATTATAGGGTATTTAACAAGCTATGTTCTAAAAATACTAAAAAAAAAAAAAAAACTAAAAAGCTTAAACCAAGAATTGACTTAACTACTCGGGTAATTCCCTACTTCAATTCCCACTCTCTTAAAAAATTTGTTCTCGAGTTCAAAATAGAAAGTGGAAAGAAGTTGAGAAATCATCCACCACTGGAATGATTTTTTGATGGTTGCAAAATAGTCCAACCGAAAAGGACTTTTGAAGCTCATCAACAAGCCAATGAAGTGAACCAATTCATCTCAATATTTGATGTCCATGCCTCCTATGTTAGCTCATCGGAATTTTGAATTCAACTTTTTGAATGATATGTCGACTATCCCATCAATCATTCTCCATCAACAGAAAAAACCTTCTCGGTCAAAGTAAGAAACATATGCATCATTAAACACTCAAGTGATCGGTTTTTCACTCTCCCTAAACTAGGGATCCGTTTGATGGTTGATTTTTAGTTTCTCTTCCCTCCTAGAAGCCCCTCAACCAATTTTTTTTTTTTTCAAGGAATCGAGAGTGGATGAATGTCTTATGGATAAAGCAATTTTTTGAATTGCAAAAGATACTGTGAAAATAGTAAAGCTTGGTGTTAATGATGGCCTAATAAGCTCAGTTTATCGGTTGGTGTCGATGAATTCAGATGGACCAATTCCCTTTCTTCTCAAAAACCCATTGACTCAATAACAAATCCCCATTCATGCGAATCCATCAAATAAAGAAGCTTTCAATGTCCAAAGTCAAAGGAAAAAGCCTATTTACACCAACCAACCGAAGAAACAATAGACTGACTGCAACAACCCAAGCCCACCGCTAGTAGATATTGTCCGTTTTAGCATGTTATGTATCGTTGTCAGCCTCACGGTTTTAAAACGTGTCTATTAGGGAGAGGTTTCCACATCCTTATAAGGAATGCTTCGTTTGCCTCTCCAACCGATGTGAGATCTCACAATTCATCTCTCCTTGGGGGCCAGCGTCCTCGTTGGCACACCGCCCGGTATCTGACTCTAATACCATTTGTAACATCCGAAGCCCACCGTTAGTAGATATTGTCTTTTTTGGACTTTCCCTTTAAGGGCCTCTGCTCGTTTTTAAACGCTTCTACTAGGGAGAGGTTTCCACACCCTTATAAGGAATGCTTCGTTTTCCTCTTCAACCGATGTGAGATCTCACACAGACCCAAGCATTGCTCACGATTTCTTGTAAGCTGGCATCTCTCAACCTTTGCTCATCATCATTATCCTTAGCCAACACTTCCCTAGATCTCTTCAACAAGGTGCATTTGGTTTCAGCTCAATTAGCCTATTGCATCCTGACAAGTAATCCTTGCTCTATAGGCATACTGCAGGGAGCTGAAAGTCACTTTCATATAGAGATTGAATCAGAGTTAAGAACTTCCCCACGAGGTGCATTGAAACTTTTTCCATTGTTGGAGCCTTGCATGGAGGATATATGGAGACCTCAAAGAAAGCACTATCCTTAACAAATATGATGGAAGTTAGTATTAAAGTTGAGGAGAATTCTTTCAGCTTCCTATCAGCAGTGTTACATCTTCCGTTACCTCCATCCTCGCCATTGATAGTCCAAATCGATCCATTTTTTGAAGTCGAACTATTATCGGCTACTTGACCAACGTCCATGGCAATCAACCCCAATCCTCATTAATAGAGGTACAAGTGTGTGCCTAAGTTGATGAAAGGGCAAAGTCACGTTTGCTCATCATATTGGGAGATCCTACACACACTCCCATAGAATCGTACCTTCGAGCACCAAACCCACCGAATAAGTTGTCCTTAAACTTCCTCCAGTTTTTGTGTGGATGACCTAAAGATTTGTGATTTGGTTGACTTTTTCGGAACAAAATTTTTTAACCTTTTGTTGCCTGTAACCAAGCCTTTTTGTGGATCTTTTTTCTCTTTTCCCTTATATCTCTTGCTCTCACTCATGGTTTTTCCCACCCACTTGTGGCTTTTGCTCTCTCATGCTCTCCTTGCATGTGAGTTTGTTAGACGCTGCAAGTTGTTAGTGTCACATTTATTGCCACCAGGTTGTACCTTCATGCATTGTTGAGAGAGAATATCATCCTGGTCGCCATCACCAGGGGAAGAAGGCAGGGGAGCGGCAACACTAAACACGTGAGTGGGAGAGGGAGTAAGAAAAGGGAGAGATTAGAGAGAGGAACAATACGAGAGTTAATAGGGAGGAAGAATGAAAAATATTTTAAAAGTTTGAGAAGGGTTTAGAGAATTTTATTGTGAAAAACCTGGTCAATCTCATTTGGGCCCAATTTTTTTAGCTCAATATGCTCTCTTTGCCCCCTCTTACTCAAATCCTTACCTTTAACCCCAACATACTACCTTCACTCATTTGCTCATTATGACTCCTATGCATTTATGTCTCTGCCCCACTCAACAGGTATTAACCCACCTTATTTCAACCTTTTCTTCACTTGGCTCACCAGCACATGGCTTTTGCATCATGCCTAATCCATCCAATAGAAGAAGAGTGCAATAACAAAGAAACTACCATAAAGTCATTGGGGAGCTTCAAAATTTACACCCTATCGTCAACTAAGACTGACTTAGTTAAGGACATGTCGATCACCACTTGATAAGTTTCAATACCTGGGATGTTAGGGTTGTGGGCTCTTGAAAGTAGAGAACCCTCATCAAAGATTTATTATCATTGTTCATTCTTCATGAGACTAAATTATCTTCTATCAACACTAGATTCATCAAGTCAAATTGGATCTCTAGGAACATTGGTTGGTAATCTCTCAACACTATTGGCTCCTCTTGGTCGCTACAACTCTCCTGAGAGGAGGCGCCCTTTCTTCCAGAGTTAGGGTCTATTTTGCTGAGTTTCTTAGAGAGAGTTGTCTAACACCTATCCACTTGTGATGGTTTCCAATACGTGTCTTCTTTTGGTGAAGGTTGTTCGAACTTTTCCTATGAGTATTGGTGGCATATTAATCCTTGGGAATGATCCCTCCCTATCACTATACATGGAGCTTAATCTTGGTTAGATCTTATCCTTCAAATCCCGTGACCCTTGGATTCTAGGGGTAATTTCAATGTTACTTGATGGCCTAGCAAAAAATTACCTACTCTTTGCCCACCGGAGTATGAAGCTCTTTAATTTATTCATTGAAAACGTTGGCCTTAGGGATATCCCTCTCCAAAACGGCAGGTTCACCTGGTCTTGTAATAGAGAAGCTTCCACTTTGTCTCACATTGATAGATTTTTAGTCTTTGACGAAGTGAGAGCTGAGAGATTTTCCTAAAAAATTGTCTTACTGATGTGCATTTTTTAAAATTTATATTAGATGAACATTGTTGTCTAGATTCGCTTTTTAATACAATATTAATGCCATGAAAATTCAATTCAAGTTCCAAATAATTATCCTTGATCTAATGAATTTATTTATTTTAACCTGAGACGAAACTTTTCATTGAATAAAGGAAAAAGATTAATTTATTATTACGGCTAAAAGAAGAAATTACCAATGATGTGCTAAATATTTCACGGACTTTATTTTTCCAAATAACTTCCAGAAGTTGCCTATTTTTCCCCCGAAACACTATATAATGGCCCTTACTCATGAATGCATTAATAAATGACTAATGTATGCTCTATTCTTTCATAATCCTGTCAAACTTGTGTAATGAGGGTGCAAGAATTTTACTGAGGTTTAATTACTCTAATAAATCTTATATAAGCTTTTAATTTGTTTTCTTTTAAAACAAGAAATGAGACTTCTCCAATGTAATAAAACAAGACTAATGTTCAAAAGATACCAGCTTTACAAAGGAGCAATAAAAGCAAAAAAATAACAAAAATAAAATATAATAACTATAAAGGAAAGATTAAGGCATTCCAATTGAGACACATTTCCTGTAGAGAAAATTCACCTAAGGCTTTAAGAGGAAACACCAAGATGAAGCCTTCAAACGAGTTAATTCAAAACTATCGAACCAAGGAAATTTCTTTTCCTGAAAAGTTATCTGGTTTCTTCAGCTCACAGTGTTGAACCAAAGCAACTTTTCCTTGGAATTCAAAAGAGGATGAATGAGTAATTGAGATATATTTCTTCTGACAATTTTGGAAAATACCCAATGAGGTTGAAAATCTCAAACTGGATGAGCATCCAAAAAAGACAGGATGAATATAATCTCAAAACAACTTGTCTGTTCTGTTAAAATAAATGGAAAGGTAACTCTTGGGTGTTTATGTATTCTTGCAGATTCTATTTAAGCACTTGCAGGAGAAGCTTCTTCTCACTGAGGTACTGATAATTTATTAGATTAATGATAGCTAGGAAACTGTAATTTAAACATTCATTTTCTTTGCTTCTCTTCATTGTTCTCCCAACTTACTTTGTGTTGATAGACAAAATTGAAGGAGTCCCAGTATCAATTAACACCTTGGCGCTCTGATGCAAGCCACTCAAGTTTTGCACCACAGTCACCCGTTCATTCAATTGGTGCAACCTTGACCACTTCAGTATGCTCACATCTCTCTTGTACCCTCATTTTTGAATTAATCTCCTTCTCTTAATTTTCTAAATTTTATGCCAGAATAAAAATGGGCTTGAACTGGTTCCTCAACCTCCATACTGGAACGGGAAGATGCCAGTTTCTTCTTCTGATGCTCAGACCACAGCTGATTGGGATCTACCAACTCATCATCAGATTGGTTTAGGTGTTGGTGTTGCAAAAAAGTTGGAACCAGATGATTTGGGGAGGTATTCACATCATGCAAGCAGGTGAGCCTGGTCACATGAAGACTGCTACTGAACTGAATACAATAACAACCATCCCGTTGTTGGTGCGTTCTGCTTTCATTGCATATTTTATGTTGCATGCCAAATGTGTTATTATTGTCCGGAGATGAATGTTGATTTACAACATTACTTATCTCATGAATGACATATTTCATTATGCTTTGGAACCCCTCGTATCATCTTTTGTTTGATTCTAATAATTTTCTCAGGAGTAGCGATCTTAATTTCTGATTATTGATTTGGGTCATCTTTCTCACTTCAACAGTACCACCATTTTTAGTATTTATTCAGTTATGAGGTATTTTAACATTTTATGCTTTCTGTTATATGCCAACAATCAATGAACAACCAAAAACGTTCATCCTTTTTAGGTTCTCCCACAAACATTATTATTTCACTGAAGTCCCAGCTTCCATAAGAGTGCACAAACTACATTAGCCTATTAAGCTTCACATGTTTTCTCGTACCTTCATAGCTTTAGGGTTGAAACTGTCTGACCTCACTTATTCTTAACTCCATAGACAGATCATTCTAGCCATGGGAACTGAATTCTCATGGAAAAAACATGAAGATTTTAGTTTTTGTCAGAATGAAAATAGAGTACGGTCCTATGGATTCAACTTCATCTTTGGCCATATTTTCAGATGACCTCCTTCTGCCCCAAGAAATATTGTCCATTAAAAATTTTGATTTCTTTGGCCCCTAATCACAGCTCCAGAGAATATGACCAAGTTCCTCAGTTACCTCCCTCACAAGAATACAACACATCATACAAAAGTTCGGGCTTGGTTGGACTGGACATAGGGGTTGCATAGAGATGATTGGGTCCTTCTCCACCCTCCTTTTAGCGAGAAAGGAAAGTTTTTGTGAAAGTGGGGCAAGTGATATTTTGTGGTAGCTTTGAGGGAAGAGGAACAATAAGTTTTTTAGTAGGCTTGAGAGATCTCCAAGTGATGTTTGGTCCCTCGGTAGTTTCTAGGTTTCTTTGTGGACTTTGGTTGATGAGCATTTTTGTAATTATCTGTTTGGTCTTATTTTATTTGATTGAAGGCCTTTCTTGTAGTCTGCTTCCTTTTGTGGGCTCAATTTTTATTTGTCCTTGTATTCTTAAATTTTTTTTTCTCAATGAACAAAAGAAAAGATCTCCACAATGTTTCTTGGTAGGATATCTAATTTGTGCACATAATGTTTCATTTTTTCTTATATTTCACAGAGAAGTCCGATTGATATCTTGGAAATCCATTCTCTTTGAGCGGGGTAATTCAAGCGGTTTATTGTGTTTGTCACCAAACTAAATGTGTTCTTACTTAAGTTGACACCTTGAAGGTCCTGGCTTAACACCCTCAAAGCCCTTGGGCAGAGGCATGTACAACTTTTTATATAACTTGATGCAAGATAACCAAATTGAAGCTAGAAGTTCTTGTGAGCCAACAAAGGGTCTGAACCATCCTGATGGAGTTCTGGATCGATGTAGAAGCAAGTGGATCATGTTGTTGAGAACCTAGATGATGAAATGAGATGCAACTTGAAGGATCTTGACCTAGATTAGAGGCAAGGTTGAGCCTTAGAACTTGACCTATAGTAGAGGAAAGTCGGTTAAAGGCACAATTGAAGGAAAATACACATACGAGCGACGTATATGGCCGAATTTCAAGCTATTGCATAAGGACTATGTGAGATTTTATGGTTGAAGATAAGCCTTGGTGACTTGAAATGGCTCGATAAAGTTGTACTACGACAATAATTCAGCTATCGTTATTGACCATAATTCTATCCAGTATGATAGGACAAAGCATATTGAAATCATTAGGCATTTGTTAAGGAAAAGTTAAAAGAAGGGGGTAGTATGCATGGGTTATGTGCCAACGACTTCAATTGATAGTTGTGCTAACAAAAGGACTTCATTTTCATGAGTTAGTATCTAAGTTAAACAATGAATGATATCTATTCCTCAGCTTGAGGGGGAGTGTCGAAGGAATATCCTTAATTTGAGGAAGGTTGGTGTAATCCTACTTAAGAAGGGAATTAGCCTATTTTTGGTTTCTTTTTTTCTATTGTTTTCTATTCCCTACAAGATTAGTTAGCTTTTCTTTTCTATTTTCTATTCCCTAGAGGATTATTTATCTTTTTTTTTTTTTTTT